CTACTCAGACTAACCAGTGGAGGGAACCAGCCTGGCCAGGCAGCGGCTTCCACCTGCAATCTTGCCTTGCCCCCAACTCGTGGAAGAAACGAAGGCCGAATTCCTCAGGGTGGCTTGCAGGTGCACTGCTACCAGGGCTCTCCACACTTTCTGTCCTGAGTGACCCCCCTGGCCACGTGCCTTGCTGGGGCTAGGACTGGACAGCTCGCTTTGCACCCCATCACCTGAGCCCCCACTGGAGGCCACTCCAATCCTTTCCTGCACTTCAGCTCAGCACCTGCCCCTCTGTGCCCAAGGATGCTCTGGCTCTGCAGAGACTGACACCAGTCTGAAGGCAGCCTCCACCCGGCTGCTGTGCTGTCATGCAGACCAGGCCTCGCAGGCCTCAAAGGTGACAGCCCCTGGACAGCAACCAGCCCACGGCCTGTTTTCCTGTTTGTTTTGGTGTCGGGGATTGAGCCCAGCACCCTGTGCCTACTCAGCACACAGCCCACAGCCCACCTGAGAGCTACACCTGAGTCACGGCCGGTGATTTTGTAGTCCATGAGCTAAGAGCAGTTTTAAAAGGCTCACATAAAACAAAAAACAAAAACAAGGAAAAGGTGGCAGAGAGTGCATGGCCCACAGGACTGTCCAGCCCTTTATGGAAGGGGTACAGGGCCCACGCCTGGCAAGTCCAGCCCCTTACTCAGGTGGGGATACTGACAGTTGTCCTGCACCTTCTTGTGTGTGAGGGGATCTCAGCTGTTCGGGTGTCCCCACCTCCCTCCCGGAGCTCAGCACAACAGGGCGTGAGCTGCCTGACCCCAAACCCTGCCTCTGAGGGAGCCCAAACTATAACACCTTGGGTTTTCTAAGAAACTCCAGCAGGACACCAGGTCACCTCCCTGCCCAGGTTGGGTCTCCACCACCAGCTCCCTCTTGTGTGCCGGACCAGCCTCCCCTCTGGGCTCAGGTGCCGAGTCTCTGTCCTGTCAGTCCAGGCACAGAGCAGGCTGGGCGTCAGATGCATTCGCCCCGCTGTCTCAGGATGCGAGGGCACCACGGCACACCTGGCTGCCTTTCACTTGCAGCCGTCCAGGCACATCTCTTTACCTTTGAGGGCACTTTCCTTCCTGCTTTCTGTCACACTGGTCCCACAGATTACACAGACACGATAGCTCTGCCCTCTTCCCACCCTCGCCTGTCATCGCCAAAGGGAAGCTTGGGAGATGGGACACAGCTCTCGTGAGATGTCCCTAGGGAGACATGGCTCTCTCCTTCCCGGGGGACATAGATGTAGGCCTAGGCGGGAAGGGAGGGGCTACACTTGGGATCTTCCTTCTGAAGACTTCTGCAGGTGACAAAGAGGTTCGTTTGTGAGGCTGCTGGGAGTGTCAGCTTAGGAAGAGGCTCTGGCCTGGAAGCAGCAGCAGGGCCCAGTCCTCAGTGTAGGACTCAGGGCAGAGGTCAAGGGACTCTGGAGCTGCCCTCTGCCGCCCAGCCTGGCTCACCACAGCACAGGCGGCAGGGCTTCATCACACCTAAGTACATCGTCTACGCAGGGGCCATGTGGAAAGAGCAGAAAGGGACCCAAACCTGTGCATGACCCAAAAGGGGCCACAGTGGTGGTAGAAGACCTGAAACAGGGTGGACAAGAGAAGGAGGCTGCAAAAAGACAGGGAAAAAAAGGGGAAAGGCGAGGCCTGGTGGCGCACACCTGTAATCCCAGGACTTGGCTGTGAGTTCGAGGCCAGCCTACACTGTGCAGTGATCCCTGTCTCAAAAAGACCAGAAATATAGGGGAAGCCGCCACCACATGACAGCTGTCTAGGGGGAAAAGAGCTGTGGAGGAGGGGCAGGTTGGTTCTTTCTCTCTCTGGGACCCACGTGCCCAGCGCACAGCCTGGGGAAGCCCACGGGTGGCTGGGCCTAGGCCTAGGTGGGGGCACGTCCAGGTCCAGGCATTTTCCACTTGCCAGGTCAGGTCCAGAGCAGCAGGACCCCCTGCAAGCTCATACCTTGGGTCCCTCTGACCAGTGCTCTAGGAAATGTAAACAGATACCTCTTGCCACAGGCTTGTTTGCATTTCATCAGATTTTCCCAGAGGAACAAGTGAGGAAGAAAACAAATGTCACTTACTTGCCACACTTGGTCCCCACAACCCCCCCCACACATACACACCCCGCTTGTGCCAGGCAGGCACCTCAGTGCTGCCTGGGGGGCTGGGTCCATCAACGCCCTCCACCCTGCACTCCTAAGCTGTCATTAACAGCTAGGCCTCTGGCTCCATTCAGTTGGGGGGGGCACAGTGGGAGGGGGTGTTACACAGCTGGGGGCGCTGGGTCTGTATAGAGGTGAAGTGCTGTGGCCCTTTGGGTTCAAGCTGAACAACTCTCTCACGGAGGAAACAGTAAAAGATAAGCAATTAAATGGAAGCTGAATATCTGACAAAAGTACTATTAGCTGTCTATTCACACTTTATTCCTCTAAGTAACTCTGGAAAGAGGAGGAACCGCTCCCAGGATGGATGAGGACAGCAAAGCCTAGTTGCTGGGTGCAGGATCTCTGCTCTCCTGGCTGTGAAGTCCAGAATCCCTGGCATCTCTGACATAACTGCATGAGCCTTTAACGTCAGTCCAAGGGCCCCTGCTCGCCCAGGGCTTGGCTCAGGGCCCACCTCCCCTCCGCACCAAGGCAGGGGTTCCTCCCCACCCCCACTCCTGCCTCGCAGGGCCACTGACGCAGAGGTCTCTGCTCTCTGGCCTGCCTGCCAGTGTTCCTGCCGCCACACTAAACCCCGCAGGCTTCCTAAGCAGCAAGGGGCCAGCTCCTCAGGATGAAAGGTATCCCCAGCACCACCCTGGAGTAGAGTGGGCACAGGCTCCGGCTGGCCATGCGGACCTTCGCAGGGCAGCCCTTACTGTTTACTGGACAAAGCAGCCAAGTCTCATCATCTTTACGAGAACTTTCAAAGGAAAACAGTCCTCCCTGGGGTGCTGGGAAATGAAAGCACCCTCCACGCTGGCTGGTGGTCAGTGAAAGCCAGGTTTCCTCCCTCCTCCCCAAAGCCCAGCCGCAGCCTCGCCTGCCCCTCTCTCAAGATGGAAAGATGGACATCCGCCTGGTCAGCTGCGTTGGGCTGTACCAGACCCAGAGTCAGACCTTGTCATCACATATCTGCCATCAGCCTCTGCATTCTGACCACCCCACATCAGGGAAGCGGCCTCCACGCTCAAGACCCTGACCGTCTTTTGCTTTCAGAGCAGAGGTCCTCACGTCAGCACCAAGGACAGTCTATTTTGAAACAGGTCTGCATGCAGTATCAAGTTACCCAAAGATAAGACCCAGCTGCACCCGCACAGCTGCCTCACATACCCTACTCCAGTGGCACCTGGCCTGGCCAGCTCTGCTGAGCCCCAGAGGCACAAATCGCAGAGAAGAACCCCCCTCCCGCGCCTGCAGCCAGGGCCGTCTGGGCAGAAAGATCCCAGCAGCTGCCTCCTCAGCGTAACCCTTCCACAGAAGGCACTCAGAGCCAAGGACACAGCACTTCCACGGCCTGCTGCTGTGCTTATGGCTGAAGGCTATGGTAGAGGTGCAGAGAAATTTTCAAGGAAGATGTAGCTCAGTGCTTGCAGTGTGCAGTGTGGCTACCCTGGATCCACGAGCCAGAACTCTGCAGTGAGCTGGACATGTCCTCCAGGTCACGCTGAGGCTCCCTCAGGTCTGCAGCTGCTGCCTTGGCCTAGAGGCCAGGCTGAGCAAAACATGATTTGGAATGAGAGGTTAGAGGAAACACAGAAAGCTAGGGCCAGGGATACAGCTCAGCAGCACGGCGCCTGCCTGACGGCTGTGAGGTTGGGAGTTTGATTCCCTGTACAAAAAAAAAAAAAAAAAACACAAGAAAATGAAAGTGGGTGCCCCAGCATCCCAACCATCACATACAGCCTGTCACGCTCTGTGTTTCCTCCCGTGCATCACAACTGTGCAAAATCTCAACACAATCCCAACACCCAGAGCCAGAATGAGGAGAGGCGGTGACACCCACAGGTGCCATGGAGTGGCCAGGGTCTGGGCCCATCTGTTGTCCAATGGAGTGCCACCGGGCCATGCACTGACCTGAAGTCACACCGGCCATGTGCTGACTCAGGGACTGGGTTAGACACCTGAAGCACCAACTTGGCACCACCAAGGGAGCTCTCCGAACAAGGATCACATTTCCCGCTGCTAACAAGGGAAAAAACTGGGGTCCTTCACCACAGAAAGGCAAGCAGCTTATGCCTGGGCCACCCTTCAGTGTAGCAGTGAAAGGAAACCTGCCCACACTCTGCAAGACACACCACAACTCCAGAAACCAGAATTCCCTCTGGAAAGGGGTAACAGGACCCAACCCTACGCACAGCAGCCAGCAGCCCCCAGTACCATCTCGCATCCAGGGCCTGCTTCTACACTATCCTGAGCCAGTCCCCAGGCTCCTAAGAAAGCCTGCAAAAGGCAAACAGAACTGAGACCAAAGGACCTCTCATTGCAGCCTCTGCCAGCAAGGTAGGCCTCAAAACCAACAAGATGCCAGGCAGAGGATCCACGCAAAAGTGAGCAAGGTGCCGGGGCAGAGACATGACCCTGGGCTTCGCCTGCAGGACAGTGTCTGAGGAACTGTCCAAATGGCCTTTGCCTTCTAACAACTGCTCTTCACCAGGTACTGAAAGGGAACTGTCACTATTCCCAAGGGAAATGAGAAGGGTGTGCCTTTCCAATATCCTGCAGTTTCTTATAATTGTCTCTATGTTATTAGTAACAAAGCACCATGGCGCAACCGCTCTGTTGAATCACCACCCCAGAGCCAGCCTAGACTGCTTCACTTCACTGGCTAAACACCCCAGACTAGAGCTTTCCACCAAGCCACTCCAGCGGGCCCAGGTCTCATTGCATAACAGCACATGGGAGTTCCAAGGGCTATGCTACAGTTAGGGTTCCAAGACACCACCCACCTTGCCAAGGGCGACCCAGACACATACCAGCAGGCTAAGATGCAGAGGCCCGTGAAGAGGACGATGGGGACGGGGTAGGAGGCACAGAGCAGCCCGTGGCTGTAGAAGGCCTGAGAAATCTTCTCACGTAGTCGTTCAGTCAGGGTCATCCTCGGCCCAGGTCACGTTGCTGCCATCCCGGAAAGTGACCATGGATCAGTCTGGCAGGCAGTGGGCACCAATGACAAAGGACATCATCTGCAGGAACCTGGCCAGAAGAGACAGAAGCCATTAACAAAGAGCTCTTGGGGGGCTGGGGATTTAGCTCAGCGGCATAAGTGCAGGCAGTCGTGAGTTCGATCCCAGGTGCCGATAAAAAGGAAAAAAGACACACACACAAAAAAAAAAAACCAAAGAGCTCTTGCTTTTGCACACTTAGATAGCTGGTGCAGCAGCAGAAATGTGGCCACAGTGGCCACAGGACATCCATGTGCAAGATCTGAAGAGGGCATCCTGACATATACCCGTGAACACACACCCATCCCCCATGGTCACCTCTCAAATGACCATGGGCCACATTCTGTCTCGGTCTAACCAAGGACACCAAGGAGCCTCCCGTGTGGCCCTGAAACTTCAGCTCTCATGGAGGCCAGCAGTTTTCACAGGGCGTTGCTCTCACAGACAGCACAGGAAGCCATGCATGCAACAGAAATCACCTCCTGCAGGCCTCTGTCAGGCGGGCTCTCTGGGCACCTCCCTGCCTTCAGTGTACAGGCTGGGCAGAAAAGAACCTTTGAAAGGGATGGGCACAAAACCAACAGCAACCCCTGATAAAGAACAGCTGATGGGATCAGTGTGCAACCCAAAAGCTCTCCCCATCGCTCAGTCCCCAGGGTAAGTGTCACCAGGTGGAATTCTCTCTGGTGCAGTATTAGGCTGCAGCTTCTACTCCTGGCCCTGCAGTTGTCCTGGGACTGTAAGGGCAGAGCCCCTCTTGCCCTGCCTGCCCAGCAGCTGTCCCCTTCTGAGTAACAGGAGCCCACTGATGCTCAGGGGGACTTGCCTCCCCATGGGTTTGGTGTCAGTCAGGCCACCCCTTCCTGAACCACAGCAAAGCGGCTGGGCACTGCCCCAACTGTGACCCTGAGCAAAGGGAAGACAGGCCTGGATGCTTGTTCAGCCCCAAGCTCTTCCTGCTCACACAATCCGGGGCTGTGCTGGCTCCAGGCTTTTCTCCAAACTGGCTCATCGACTTTCCTAATTCCAGACTGGAAGTCTTTCTCCAGCATTCCAAAAAACCTCTTTCCCCATGTTGGTTTCTGTTGCTTGCAATCAAAGCATCTTAAACCAATACAACCAAACAGAAAACTACAAGAGAAGACCTAGTGATCTAGAATCTCTTCCTAACTGAGCTCACCAATCCAGTTGAGTTGAAGTTCACCTCTATTCCGTGTTGCTGTGTCTCTGGTTTGTGCTACAGGGAACCTGCCCAGACACGTGTCTCAGCTTGATTACCCTCCCTGAAGAAAACCCATGCTGAAAAATGACTCTGAAGTGTCAAGACCAGAACTGAGAAGCAAAAGAAGTCAACCATGATGAATTCGCAAGCCAAAGAGTAGCTCTCACTCCTTCCACCTGGGGGGAAGCACCAGCTGGAAGTATATCCTAGTAGCCCACGACAGCTGCAGTCTGAGCCACAGAGGTGCTCACAACCGTTCCACTGTCCATGGGACTCACTGGGACTGTGACAGACGGAAGAGGCCTCAAGCCAAGGACCGGCTTACGGTTCTCAGCATGCAACTTCCTGCTCCTGCACACCACCCTCCCTGCAGCTCCCCAGGGGACAATCAATGCACAGAAGCTGGGCACCTGCAGAGAGACAGTGTTCAGATCCCTGCAGACAGGCAACCAGGAGCCAGGAGCCAGAAGCCAGGAGCCAGCTCCAGCTTCCCTGACAGGCCTCACACATCTTCCCTCAAATGTGGCCCCATACTGTGCCCTCCAGAAATCCTGATCTCAGGATCCCAATCCCCTCCCAGGTCTCCTGCACATGTGCTGGCCACAAAGAGAGGGCCCACCCAGCTCTTCACACTAAGAACTGGCTAGCTCTCAGGAAGCCAAAGCTCGAAGGAAGCCAAAGCCATCCAATCCACATTTACCCTACAGCCAACACAAATCTCGCTGTGGCTGGCCTTTACTATGCCAGCCGCTGACTTTCACAGCACTTGGGAAACACACACAGATTCTGGTTCAATCAGCCCACCTACCTGAACCTAGCAAGAGGAGATAGCTATTTATCTCTGCTCCACAGCACAAATTTTAATGCAAAGTTCTCCAAAACAGAATTTACCCAACCTGCAAGAAAAACTTGTTTTTCTTGTATTGACCCACACTTATAGGTTGCTTCAGATCACAAGGAACAGTCTTGTCCTGGAGGCCTAACTGGACCAATTACATAAAAACTCAAGCAATCCTGCCTTTGCTGTTGTGGAAGACCCCACTAAAAGCAAAAACAAAGCAGCTTGGTGAAACCCAAATTATAGAGCTGTTCAAACAAGGAACAAACACTTTGAGAGAGGACAGAACAACAGTCCTAAGGACACCCACAAAGAGGACAAGCCCAAGTCAAGCCAAGGGCATTTGAGATAAGGGGCATGAGGGTGGGGAATGAGTATGAGCCCCACAGGAGGCAGATGCACCCCACCTTATCCTAAGCCAGCTCAGGGTACCCAGGTCCCTCAATCCATCCCAAATGAGAGGGAAGAAGTCAGGGGAAATCCACACACATTCACCACATATGCAATTCCCAGCAGAGAGACAGGAAGGAAGGGGGGGAGGGAGGGAGGGAGATCAATGAAGAAAAGTAAAGGTGCTAAAAGCCTGAGGGAGATAAAGAATACAGGTGAGGGATGGAGAGACCAGGCGTGGCAGAGCACTCCGCAAGGTTGAAACACAACTGCTAATTGCAAGTTTGAGCTGTGCCTGGGCACTGTAGTAACACCCTGTCTCATAATGTAAAACAAAAAATTTTCAAGGCCTGGGATGCACTTCCCTGCAAAGGCCAAAGTGGGCAGAGGCTGTGTTCCCAGATCAGTTCCTGAAAATGCCCATCACCCCTAAAACCTTGGGCTAGCATGCCTGTCCTGACCATGCTGTTTATCATTCTCTGGAAGAATGCTCAGAGGCATAACTGCTGGGGAGATGTCCTAAGCTTTCTTTTTTTTTTTGTCTTTTTCATTTTTATGGGTACCAGGGATCGAACTCACGACCACCTGCTTGCAAGGCAGGTGCTTATGCCGCTGAGCTAAATCCCCAGCCCCAAGGTGTCCTAAGCTTTCTAAGAAACGGCCAGAATATCCAGCGGTGCCCACACCACTGCACACGCCCACCAGCAGCACAGGAGAGATCTAAAGTCTTCACTTTTTCAGCAGCTTCTTACATGGTCACTTTAAAAAAATACTATACTAATTGTTATGTACTGACATTTAATTAGGTATTAATTTACATTTCCCTCGTGGCTAGTAACGCTAATCATTTTTTCATGGGTTTAATTTGCCATCAGTATATTTTTTCCATCATGCATGTTTCTTTCATTTCCTTTGACCATGTTCTAATTGAATGTTTAAGACTGAAGATATTTTTAAATAAGTTAAGGTATAATTCACAAAGCATAGAAATCACCCTTTTTAAGACATTCATGGAATGGTAAAACCATTTCTACTATCTAACTCCAAACATTTCTGTTATCCCCAAAAGAAATGCCATACCCCATTTCTTTTCCATCTACCCCCAGCACTAATTTTCTGGTTTCAATGGACTTGTCCATTCTAGACATTTCATATAAAGGGACTCACTTAATGTGACTTTTTGTGAATAGTTTCTTTCCCTTAGCATGGGGCTCACTGAAGCCACGGGTATCGGTACATCATCCCTTTTCCTGGCTGGAAACATTTCATTCAATGGATCTGTCACCTTTTGCCCACTCATCAGTTGACAGCCAATTAGATGGCTTCTGTGAACAGTGTCGTTATTATGGACATTCCTGTGCAAGTTGTTGGTTGAACATCTGTTCTCAATTCTTTTGAGTATACTGATGATTGAGAGTGGAATTTCATAGTCATAATGTAATAATTGTAATTTTCTCCAATGTTTTCTTTATTGCAGTTTTACGTTTAAATCTATAATCCACTTGCATTAATTTTTGCATAAACTGTAAGGTGTTAGGTAGGGTCCACTTTTTTAGCCTCTAGATAACCAAGTGTCCCAGCACTCTTTGTTAAAAAGGCTACCTTTCCTTCACCAGACTGCCTTATCACCTCACTCAAAAAAGCAGTAGGCTAGGTATGGTAGCACACCCTGTAATCCCAGCTCTCTGGGAGGCTGAGACAGGAGGAATTTCAAGCCATCCTGGGCTACACAGTGATTTCTAGGCCACCCTGAACTACATAGCAAGACACTGTCTAAAAAACAAAACAAACAGAAGTGGACTCCTTGGTATCTTCTACAGACTACTGTGTCATCTGCGAAGGGGAACATGCTTTTCCTTCCATAATTTCTTCAAGTATTTTTTTCTGTAACACTCTTCCTCTTTTCCTCTTGAGCCTTGGACAACACGAAGGACAAGCCTTCTGTTACTGATCTGCGGGTCCCTGAAGACCTGCTTGTGTCCCTAAAGCCAGGCCATGCTGGTCAGGGTGGGCTGCAATCACAGCAGAGCACGACCAGGAGTTCACACACATGCTCTGGTACACTCTGTTGACTTCCTTCCTTTCTGCACTCTTCCTAAGCCTTTCCAGCTCCAAGGCTCATTTCCTGGTCTTTGGGACAGAAACCCAGGACTCTACTTTCCTGGCTTTGCTGAGCACCTCTAGCTACTACAGCTGCTTACGGCAAGCGATGAAGGAAAAGAGAGGAAAGGAAGAACTTCAAGGGCAGGGGACTGAGGGTGCAGAGCATCTGCTAGCATTCAGGAGGCCGCATGGAGGGGAGGAGAGGGAAGAGCAAAAAGGGAAAAGAGCGCTGCCGGCAGGGCATGCCACAGAGAACACCTGCTAACAGAGGTGAGACCCTTCGCCAAGCCCTCTGTGCTGGACAGCGGGCTCCGCCCTCATCCACCCAACACCACTTGCACAGAGCTGCTCGCAGCCAGAGCTAGAGAAAAAGGAGAAAGTGAGAGAGCGCACTAGTGGAGCTTTGCCCCTCACACCTACTCCTGACCCACAAGGACGCTCCCCTAGAAGGTCAGGGCTTCTCTAGAATGTCTGTCTGTCTGTCCCCAGTGTCTCTGAAAAGAAAGATAAAAAGAACTGTGGGTCACGGGCACTGCAGTGAGTGCCTGGCCCACCGGAGCCCTGGATTCGATCTCCAAGCCCCCAGTGAACACATGCACACAGAGATTGCACTCATGTTTTTGAAATATTCATGAAAAACATATGGGAGACTGCAGAGGAGAAAACTGATTCTGGGACTTTACACGGTTCTACATGTAGTTCTTTTTCTTTTTTGGGTTTTAAGACAGGGTCTCACTATGTAGTCCAGGCTCAGAGATCCTTGTGCCTCAGTCTCTCAGGTGCTGAGATTCTCGGCGTGCGCCACCATGCCTGGCTCTATGTGATACTTTCTGCAACAAAAATATTTTTTAAGTAGTTATACTATTCTTTAAGTGATGCTTAGAAAAATATTTAAAGGCAAAAACATATATCACAACATTACTAAATTTTCGAAAATGTAAATTAGAAAATAACAACAGGATTTATTCTTGGGTAGAATCTTTTTTTTTTTCTTTTTTCTTTTTGTCTTTTTCCTTTTTATCGGTACCAGGGATCGAACTCACGACTGCCTGCTTGCAAGGCAGGTGCTTATGCTGCTGAGCTAAATTCCCAGCCCTGAACCTTTTTTTTTTTAAATCTGCATTTTTTTCCCAAAGCAGTTTTTTTTTTTAAACAAGTTTTGTTGAGGCAAGGTTGCACTGTGCAACCTAGGCTGACTTCAAACTCAGTGCAATCCTCCTGCATCAGCTTTCCAAGTGCTGGGATGACAGGCCACCACCCGACTGCTCAGAAGTAACTGATACCAACAGAAACGATATGAGGTGTAGTGAAATAACAATCTTTGCTGCAGTGACAGAGCCTACCACTTACGATGAGGTGCTCACCTAGCACCAAACTATAAGAACTTTACACACACTACCTCTCATTTCATCTTTATAACCTAGGTCAAAACAGAACTAAGATTTAAAACAAAAACAAACAGTAACAACAACAAAAAACTACTCCTACATTACAGCTGAGAAGACCACCACAGACTTACTGGGGCAGAAACTAAACTACTATTTTGCCACATGTGGTACACTCAGGAGGCTGAGAGTGGAGGACTGCCTGAGCTACACAGCAAGTTCCAGGCCAGCCCAGACTATACATTAAGACCCTGTCTCAAAAAAACAACAACAAAAAATTTTCTTTCTGGGAAGAATACAGGGGAGGAATTTTAAATGTTTTCTATTTCTACAATTATGTGTTGCTTTTCCTGCAGAATATTATTTTACCAATCAGCAAAATCTTTCCATGGACATTTGAGCTCAGTGAAAACATCAAGGATTCCGTGTACACCTCCATTTCCTCCTGGAACATGCATCTGCCAGGCTCTGGAACGGCACAAAGGTGACCAAGAGCCCAGGTTCCAAGGCACCTAAGTTCCACACTCAGCAGAGAGAAGTTAAGCTTCCACCAGCCAGAGGATGCATGCACAAAGACACCCTATGGCTAAAGGAAAGGGATGTGAAAAGCAAGCAAGTGGGCTGGGGATTCAGCTCAGCAGCATAAGTGTCTGCCTGGCAAGTGGCAAGGTCCCGAGTTCCATCCCCAGTACAAAAGAAAAAAAAAGTAAGCAAACAAAAACAATGGAAAATCAAAGTCAGAAAATACCACCATGTGCACATGTCTGTAACTCCAGCACTCAGGAGACTGAAACAGAACAATCTCTGTGAGTTGGAGACTAGTCTGGGCTACAGTGAGGTCATGGCCAGCCTGAACTACAGGGTAAGACCCTGTCATGAGGGAGAGGAAGAGAGAGAGAAAGGGAAAGAGGAAGAGAGGGAGACAGAGGGAGAGGGAGTGGGGAGAAAAAGAGAGAGAAAAGAGACAGACAACAGCCAGGTGTGGTGGTACACACCTGTAAGAGGCTGAGGCAGGAAAATTACAAATTAAAGGCCAGCCAGAGGGAGCTCAAGGCCAGCCTGAACTACACTGTGAGATCTCATCTAACAAAAATAACAAAGAGGCAGATAAAACAAACACTGGTACCCCAAGCTCCAGGTGAAGAAACAGACCTAGGGAGCATTCTGGACAACATGTTCCTCTCACCTGACTATTCTTTTGCAAACGACCTTGCCGATTCTCCTAGTCCTACACACCACTTATTTCCAGTTGGGAATCCAATCGTCGGCACTGTCCACCGAACACCTCTTCACTCACAGCAGCGTGTCTATGAAACCACCCATGATGACCTCACTGTTGGTATTCAGCCCTAACACCCCGTGTGCTCTCCTGGGGATTCCTGCAGAACCAACAGTAGCAAGTATCCAAAGGCCACTGCAGGCTGCCTGCCCACCCAGCAACCGTGGGCCCCGCCAGATCAGGGTGCTCCTCTCTGCAGCACCCACACCATGAGACACCTGCTCTGCTGCTGTGATGTGGGTCTTGAGTGTGCTGAAGAGCTTATCCCAGGGGACGTACCATCCTGAGAAGGCTGCTGGTCCCTCAGAAGGTTCTGGGAGCCTGGCCTGTCCCATCCTCCCTCCATGGCTCTGGGGTCAGTAAGTGACAAGTCCACCCAACAACATATCCCCACTATGACCTGCGGACTATCACGACTCCACAGGCCCCACAGCAATAGGAACCAGTCACGGGGTTCCAGTGCAGAGAGCCAACTACTGACTCTCTAGGTAATGAACACCTTTGTAGCTTCTCCTCTGGTTGGTGTTGCCACACTCACCGTGCTTGTGCAAAAAGAGTCACTTCTGTAGGATTCTTGGCCCCACCCCCCATCCTGCATATCCTGCTGTGATTCGAAGTGGGAAAACAATCACCTTTGTAGCAATGTGACTCCATCACTAAACCTACTTCTCGTGCCCTGGTTCCCTTTGGAGAAACCCTGGACACAAGGCTCTAGGAGCTCAGCCTCACCTGCCCCCCAAGCCCTGCGTTCTCTCCCCACCTCACACCTCATCCTGCCTTCCCAAGGGCCTCCACACAGAACCTGGGGATACTTCACAACTCCGCACCCCACTGACACCAGCCACTGCCCCACCCTAGCCTCAACCTGGCCTTACCACGGACCTGTCTGCTTATCTTCTTTCAATCCACCTGCTTCGGGTCCCCTGGACAGCTTCTGTGGTGCCCTGGCCAGATCCCTCTGCACTGAGAACAAGGCCCACAGCCTGTCCCTGGTCCCAAGGACTCTGCACACCGCCCCATCCTCCCCAGATTCACCTCACGTCACCTCCCTCCATGCCCTGTTCTCGCCCAGTGTTGTGTGTGCCAGCCTCATTTCCATCTCAAGGCCCAGCACAGACGGCTCCCTTCTCAATTCCCTCGTCTCCTTACGGCCTGGCACCTCTTCATCCCTCAGGTCTCAAATGCAACGACACGCTGACAGAAAGCCCTCTCTCCTGACTGGATGTGCTCCTAAGAAGCCTCTTTTACTGTTCCTCACAGAGCCTAAGTATCCCTCTCTGAGATTCAAACTAGCTAGCCGTGCAGTCTAGTTCCTGGTTTATCATCTGTCCCGACCTGTCCCAAGACTATGATCGACTCCTTGTCTGTTCTTGACTGTGCACCACAGCCCAGCCCAGCACTTAATAAAAATGAGGTGAAGAGGTAACAAGCAAGTCAGTCATCAACACAGAGTACAGGCACCCAGTGCGTACTCTCCATCCCTCTAGCATGGTGATTTTCAGATGGTCCCAGAGCAGCCAGCCCTGAGAGACACATCTGGGAGCTGGTCAGAAGTATGTGCTACGGGGGCTGGGGATGCAGCTCCAGGAAGAGCACTTGCCCCTCGTGTGCAGGTTCCTGGGTTCCATCCCCAGGCCTGCAAAACACAAGTGCAAATTACTGGGCTCCCTCCAGAGCGGGAGCTCGGCCGCCTGTGTGTGTTGCCCTCCAAGCATCGAGGGCCGACCAACTCCTGGTGTGCCGGAGCCCAAGCAATGTCACACACCATGGTGATCCCCAGGCAGGCAGCATGGGTGACCCTCCATGCACCCCCAGCACGTTCTAACCCCGCATGCTCTGCTTCATAGATTTCCCTCCCCCTGTGGCTCATCCTCCAACACCACTGGTGGGGATAGCTTCCAAGAATAAAGACCTGCTTTTGCCAGTCATTCTTAGCACAAAGGCCTTGAACTGCTCCCTAGTGCCCACACTTTTGGGGCACACTTCATTTTTTTGTATACAGATGCACTCAAAATACACTAAGAGCTGGGTGATACAGGATGCACCAGAATCCCAGCACTCTGGGAGGCTAAAATGGGATTGCAAATTTGGGCCTAACTTAGGCAACCTAGCAAGACCCTGTTTCTAACAAAAAGAGCTGGGCATATAGTTTAGTGAGCAACAAAACAGTACTAGAAACTCTTTCCTTCTTTTATTGAATAAAAATACCATTTATGTACCATGTGTTAATCTCTGGACTAAGACTTTTAACTATACATCTCCTTTAGCCTTTACAGTAAGCTTTTAAAAAGGAAAGTTGAACACACTATTTCTATCATTTCAGTTCCAAACATGAGGATGCTGAGGCCCAGAAGTGGGGGCTGTCCGTCCAGGAGCCCACACTGGTCACCGGCATCCCCGCCTCAAACCATCTGCCTCCCTCTCGGAGTGGCCCTTCACTCCCACTCCATCCTTCAATCCCTCACCTGTCTGCCCCTCCTTCTTCGCTTCCTTTCTTTTGGTGTGCTGAGCCAGGGTCTCGTCATGCAGTCCAAGCCAGCCTTTAATTCACTATATAGCCCAAACTGGCCCCAAATTGGGGCCACCACACCTGGCTTTGTTGCTGTTTGTTTGTTTTGTAGTGCTGGGACTGGAACCCAGGGCCTCTGTGAGCCACACCCCAGAGCCCCACCTCTCCCTGATTCACCCAGTCCTGAGACACAAGTGCTACTTCCTCCCACGCCTTCTCCAAACATTGCTCCACCCCTGCATACCAGAAACACACAAGTACTTCAACGCTGCTTAGGTTAAAACGCACTACATTTACTACATCAATAGAGACCACCAGCAGTACCTTAGACACTGGACATCCTTTCAAATTCTCAGGTGCTTGGTAAATACTGATGTTGACTTATATACGTGCATATCTTAATAAGAAAGAGTCTTCAATTACATAATTACCTGCTTCTCAACCACAAGCTCAAATCAAGCCCAAGGAAAACACACTAGAAAAATTCCCACTAAGTCAGGGGTCAAACAAGGATGTTCACTTAACCACCATTTACTGTTATTCTGAAAGCATTAGCTATCACAATTAGGCAAGAGAAAAAAATAGGTACACAACTGGAAAGGAGAAGATATAATTTTTTTTCAGGTGATATGATTATATAGCTAGAAAATTCAAGACAACTAAAAACCTCTGCAGCTGAGAAAAGAATCAGGTAGGTTAGCAAAAACATAGGAATCAGTCTTCAAATAGATCATCAACAAGCAAGTAGGAAATCTCAACACTGAAAAAAGCAATGCAAACCAAGTGTGAGTGTGGTGGTATCTGTAATCCTTGCACCCTGGGAGGCTAAAGCAAGAGGGTCATAAATTCAAACCCAGCCTCAGCAATTTAGCAACCTGGTGAGAATTTTTCTCAAAATGCAAAGGCCTGGGATGTAGCTCAGTATAGAGGCCCTAGGTTTAAGCCTCAGTACCACCACCAAAATAAAAGAGGAATCTCTCAAATTCCAAAGGACTCACAAACTTCAACAAAAAGAAAGGCAAGCAATGTGCCTGAGGAAGACTCAGGACACTGAAATGTCACTCTTCCTGTATTCATCTAAAAAAGGAGGGCACAGCACCTGCCCAGCAAGCGTGAGGTCCTGAGTTTGGGTCCCAGCCCTAAATAAATAAATAATACAACAAAAACACACAGGTCTTAAAAAAAAACTACAGAAGCATATTTTAAGGTACATACAGAAAAACAAAAATAGTCAGGAAGGTTCTGAAATTAAAAGAAATGGAATTTTATCAAATACTAAAATATGTTGTTACAAAGCTACAGTAATTCACTTGTAGTTGTTTAGGTATAATTTGGTGGACAGGATGCTAAAACCTTCAATTTATCACAAGAGGCTAACGATAAAAAACACTTTGCATTAAAAAAAGAAGCTAGTACAGGGCTGGGGATTTAGCTCAGTAGCATAAGCACCTGCCTTGCAAGTAGGCAGTTGTGAGTTCGATCCCTGGTACCGATAAAAAAAAAAAAAAAAAACTAGTACATACATAATACATAAATACAGGGATTAACAGCATAGAAAGCACAGCAATAGACTCAAATGTACACAATATGTGGCAAAATACATCACACACAGAAAATGATGTAAAGAGTAAACACACGGGCAAAGACAATGTGTTCAGCAGGACACGTCCCGCAAACAGGGAGTCATCTGGGAAAAGAGCGGTGTTCACAGTGCAACCAAAGGAAGTTCCAAATGTGTAAAAGATTTAAAGATACTGAAAAAGGAAATATAAAAATGACTCAGTTTTTCTTGTTGCCCTTTTTCAGCACTGGAGACTGCACCTAGGGCCTTCACATTAAGCTATGACCCCAGTCCTTTTCATTTTTAGTTGAGACAAGGTCTCCCGAACTCTCATACTGTGCTTGAATCTGGCTCCTGGTGCCCACCGTCGTACCTGGCCTCAGTTATTACATCCTGAGCAAGGCAGTAACTGTGATTCGTGGCACTGCAGCACTAGGCCCCTCATAGGTAAACAAGTTTTACCAAATCTATTTAAAAATACCAAAATCCAATAGAAAATGGGCAAAGGATCTGAACATCTCTCAGAGAAAAGAAAATGTAAATGGTCCTTTCACCTTACTGCAACTAGAGATATAAATTTAAACTGACCCAGAGATAATGCATGTTCTTTCTATTCTTTCACCTTTCTGTAGGTTGAACTCAAGACTATGATACTATTGGTAAGGCAACTGAGTAAGAAATACTAACTCAGTATTTAGGCAGTGAGACAGGGCTGAGTCCTCCAAGGAGCCAGTGCAGAAGCCCAGATGCCCTGCAAACTTGGAGAGCAGATACTTCCTGCTGTGGGCCAGGCCTCAAGACAAAAGATCAAACAAATGCACCCACACCCTAAGCACAGGTACCATCCCAACCCCCTACAGGAAGAGTCACTGCTGTGAAGCATGCCAGCTTTCTACTGATTTAATCTTTACCTGAACAGTTAATCTTACTGGTTAACCATAATTCTGTCCCATTTTATGCCCCTCTGCCTTGCAGAGTTCCTAGTTTTCCCCACCTTGAACCATCTCACCCCATGATTTTACTCTATGAAAGTCTCTACAGAAGACAGAGTCCTTTGGCAGCACGCTCGGGACCCTTCTATCTCTCAGACAGCAGCTTTCTTTCTCTCAGTAAATACATTCCAATCTTAATCTCCACTGTTCTTAAAACTAACTCTTTGATTTTAGAGAACACAAACTGATACTGGACATAGTAGGTTGGGAGTTTCCTTCCCCTATATCACTGTGTGTGTCTGCAAGAACATGTGTGCTCACACACATGTATGTGGTAAAATGTACACAGAGAACCTGTTCTCACCCATCGAACTGTAAAGATCAAACTGTCACCGCAGTACTGGTGTGGGTGTATATAAACAAGCACTGTCTCATACTGCTTAGGAGAAGGCTTGCATCAAACATCTGGTGACAGCTGTCTGCTCACCCTCCTTGGCTGTGTGATGGACTGGCGCCACCAAGTTACCCCCACCGTGTCACCTTCACCAGCAATTAGAGCTCCCTATGATTCCATCAATAGAGCTCTGCCTAAATTAATCACAATGGACCACAGAATATCACCCAGCTGTGCAGACAGTAAAGAAGCCTTCTGTACTGTAGCTGATTTCCAGTGCTAGGACAGAACCCAGAGCCTCAAGCACTGGGGATGTGGCTCAGCGGTAGAGCGCTTGCCTGAGTTCAATCCCCAGCACCACAAAAAAATAAAAGAACCCTGGGCCTTGCACAGACTGGACAAGCACTCCACACCAAGATACAGCCCCAGCCCAGCTCTCAAACACTGATAATGAGCCCTCATGAAGCAACACCCAGAGAAAAAAGAAAGAGAATATAGTGTGCTACTTTCAAGTGAGAAAAAGAGCTCTCTGTGCATGGCCCGCATACGTGCAAAACACCTGAGACATGGAAGACCTGACCCCGGTAACACTGGCCATTCTCAGGAGAAGATCTGGTGGCCGGGGCAGGGGGAAGGGAAGCTGTCCCGTGCGGACTCGGTTGTACCTTTTTAATTCTGTGTCATGGGCAGAATTCCTGCACTAGGCGCAAAATAAAAAGTACAGCTTTCCTGCGGGGGTAACCCCCTTCTCCAGACATCAGTCACCAGGTGCCTGTTACCGTCTTTCCACCCTGTAGGTGCACATTTAAACTCCTTATCCCCTACACACTCACTGACTGCAGGCCTCACCCAACAAGGTCACATCTGAATGGCTCCACCGGCCCTTCCTCATCCGGAGCAGGACAGAAGGCCACTGCAAACCTCTTTGCTGCACGGAGCTGCAAGTCATCTATTCAGACAAAGAAAGTTGTTCTAAAATTTGTTTTCCAAGTGGACCAGTGTTCAGAGGAAGAAACTTCACTCCTCTGAGCATCGACATTAGCCAAATAAATGGTATACAGGGCACACGCCTGCTGTGCCAGCTGGCCAGGACGGTGAAACAGAAGACTGAGTGCACCAGGCTAGCCTGGGAAGCCAGCAAGACCCAGTCTTGATAAAACTGATGTCACTCAGAGGTAGAACACCTGCCCGGCATGCTCAAGACCCATCCTCAATGCCAATTAAGAAAAAAAAAGTCACATTGGAGTAATTTTTAGGAAACCAAGTCAAGGTTAAGCACTAAAGAAGGGAATTTCAGTTAATGAATACAGCTAATTCACATAATTTGGAGCACAACCACATTCAGGAGGGTAATTATTGCTCCATTTTAGAATTACTGTTGGATGGCACAGAACATGCAGACTGAAGGACCAGCTGATTACATTTACTGGTTGTGATGCTTGTTACAACCAACCATGGGCATGGCGCCAACCTGCTTCACAGCAGAACAGCAACACATGTATTTATGTGTCTCCTACCCACCCCCTTTTCTTGCACAATGTTAGCTACCTACATTTTCACTATACTTCCCACTACTAATCATCCAATTATTATTATTATTTTTTTGTGTGTTTCTGAGCTGGGGTCTTGCTATGCAGTTCAGGCTAGCCTTGAGCTCACTTTGTAGCCCAGGCTGGTCTCGAATTCGCAATGATCCTCCTACCTCAGCCTCCCGAGTGCTGGGATCACAGGCGTGAGCCACCACACCCGGCTCCAATTATTTTTTTAATGGAAAAAAGGTAAAACAAAATTTCATGACAAGATGCCAGGAGAGGGGGCTGGGGATTTAGCTCAGCGGCATAAGTGCCTGCCTTGCAAACAGGCAGTCGTGAGTTCGATCCCTGGTACTGATAAAAAGGAAAAAGACAAAAAAAAAAAAGATGCCAGGAAAATAACAATGGTCAATACATTGCATATTATCCTTAATATTGAGAGTACAAGATATGGGCATAAGGGGCTGGGGATTTAGCTCAGTGGCATAAGCACCTGCCTTGCAAGCAGGCGGTTGTGAGTTCGATCCCTGGTACCGATAAAAAGTTAAAAAAGTTAAAAAAAAAAAAAAAAAGATATGGGCATAAAACATTCTCCAATCGATGTAAGTGCAAACTTTCCTTTCCTATGAACTAAGAGACACTATTGTATAACTAACTTGCATTTTTTCTTCTTTCCCCTTTCCCCC